GAAAATAGAGCGTAACTACTTACTTACGTTCACTTAGCGAGTTTTGGAAGTATGGCCCCGCAGGTGAGAATAGTGATGCACCGCAAAACTTGGAAGAAAGATTAGACCAAAAAAGGAAATTTAGCTTCTAAATTGGTGTGAATACATTTCAATCAGGACACAAAATAATTTTTACATTTTGAAACGGGAGTTGAATGGAATGTATACGAGTACGCTGTATTTTAAAATTATTCATTGTATTGGTTTTTCTGTCATTAGCATTCATAAGCTTTGTTATTGTTAATTGCATTCGAAATAAAGTGATTCTATGGATTATTGATGTCATTTATTATGAGGATTATCGAGCTTTAATTCATCGCTACTATTACCTGCTATATATAGTTATTACCTACAACTACTAACTATATGTTAATCTGAATTAGAATTTCATTATAACGCGATTTTCAAATTTACAAGCTTTTGAATGTACCGTATTCAAGTTTATTTTTAATCTTCTCCCAATACGATAATTGAATGTGAAATTTTCTTCCAGTAACTTAATGCTCGCGTATAATTTGATACAAGAGATTAAAAAAATTGTGTAAGGGATATTCCGGATAAGTAGCAAATTATAGTAGGTGTTCCGCTCTAGCCAACTTAAAAATGCGACTAAAAGAGATAAAAAATTCAAAGAACCATATACTCGAAATTTTCTGTTAATATATAATGAATAATTTTGCTTCAAATTTTACGATAGGATCAGAAAATACTACTTTTACTAATGTGTCACACTCTAATTAAGTCAAACAGCGTCAACAGTGATTAGAAACAATGACTATAAAGTAAGCAATCGTTGAAAATTCATTTCTGCCTCTTAATTGCTAACGGTCTCACACATAAATTTTTTTACATTGTTTGGGTAACGCCGAGCAATACATCTTTTGATTAACAGTTAGGTTATGAATATTTTTATCTAGGTTTAACTGTGCTTATTCAGTTGTCCCGTAATCCATCACTGAGAAAAGCTCCGAACTTGAGACTTGATCAGTGATCACGGTTTAAATAGACAAGGGCTAAGAAGATACACGGTTTATATTATCGTATTCTTGTTTCTATCGTTTATTTTTATTATAATTTTCAAGTCTCATTTGTATATTTACACACTGAATGAATCATAACAACATGAGACACGAGTACCTTGAGATTCAAAGGACGAGTTGAAGTAATAAATATGTTATCTAATCTCTTCAACGATAATCACAATAAATACAAAAATTCATGAATGACACACGCGCGAATGACTTAAAACAGGACAGGAACAAATAACACAAGGAATATAATAAACGTGAACATATGATCGATGTTCAATTATTACAGCAACAGGCAGGGAAGCTCGCGTGTCTAGGACCTGTAAAGGTAACGTGTAATGGTCGCTCAAGAGTTCGAGGCCAGCGGCGGTCGACTGAAGAAATTCAAGCACTTCAATCGAGGTAATGACAGCGGTTGTAGATTCGTTGGTTGCACGAATTGTATAAAATTTAGATATTTGAAGAAATTTAAGCACTTTAATCGAGGTAACGACAGCGGTTGTAGATTCGTTGTTTGAACGAATTGCATAAAATTTAGATATTTGAAGAAATTCAAGCACTTCAATCGAGGTAATGACAGCGGTTGTAGATTCGTTGGTTGCACGAATTGCATAAAATTAGATATTTGAAGAAATTCAAGCACTTCAATCGAAGTGATGACAGCGGTAGTAGATTCGTAGGTTGCACGAATTGCATTAAATTAAGTTATTTGAAGAAATTCAAGCACTTCAATCTAGGTAATGACAGCGGTTGTACATTCGTTGGTTGAACGAATTGCATAAAATTTAGATATTTGAAGAAATTCCAGCACTTCAATCGAAGTAATGACAGCGGTTGAAGATTCGTTGGTTGCACGAATTGCATAAAATTAAGATATTTGAAGAAATTCAAGCACTTCAATCGAGGTAATGACAGCGGTTGTAGATTCGTTGGTTGCACGAATTGTATAAAATTTAGATATTTGAAGAAATTCAAGCACTTTAATCGAGGTAATGACAGCGGTTGTAGATTCGTTGGTTGCACGAATTGTATAAAATTTAGATATTTGAAGAAATTCAAGCACTTTAATCGAGGTAACGGCAACGGAAATTGATTTTTGGGTTGCAAGAATTTTATAAAGTAAAGTAATCCATTGTGAATCATTCATGGTGAATGAAATGCGAAATAATATTTTGAGATCTAAGTTGAAAATATTGTGATCATTTAATAAATACTTCATAAATTAATATTGATCTATAACAATCTTTAAAATTCAGTTTACTATGACACCGTTCGTTTTAATTTAGGAAGAATATGAAAAGCGGTTGGCTGAGACGATACCATAGGAAATTTGAATTATTAATGTTGGAAAATTACCCATTTGATTATATAATTCAGCATTGTTAAGCAATTCATTATTTACATTGGCTGGCCTAAAAATTTTAAGAGAGGAGCGTCCAAGTTTTCTAAAACGCTAAAACTAATTTATTGCTGGCAAAAAAAAAAGCAATATCTGGGCAAAGGGTGCTCAAAAAGGGTAAAACCAAAACAAATTAGATCAGTACTCACTGCAGTGAGTGACAGAGAGCGCATTTTCTCGTCCGTCCGTATCGTGAAGTCACGGACGGACATGACGAGCACAATAGCGCCTTTTTTCCATAGATGATAAAATGCGCTAAAAATATAACTTTTGTTCGAAATTTAATGTCATGGTCGTCCTAGCACGTGCACCATTATTTCTCAACTTAATGTTAATTAAGGAAGAATGGTGGCATGAGCTCCTTTCAGGCAATTCTACGTAAACATAGCCTAAAACATTATTATGTATTTTATTCTTCTATATTTACATCAAAGGGTTAAAAATATTCAATTTTGTGTTCTTAAGTTTAATACCACATTTAGCATTTTTTAAAATATTTTTTCGTTCTAAAATAAAAAAAATATATTTTTGAAAATATTTTTTCGTGTTTAAATTCTATTAAATCCCAACGCAGGTTACTCAGTCATATATATGTAGCGCTATGGAAGCCTTAACACGTACGATTTTTTTCTTTACATTTAATGCGCAGTCAAACACTCAATGCTCTTCGCACTTGCAAATTTTAGATGCTGGCAAAGCAGCTAATTAAAGCCACGACCAGAATTGCGTGGCGAAGAGGCCTTTTGGCTCCCTAATTAGCGCGATGAACTTATTTTTATTATTCCCAGACTTCAACTTTTCCCTCTGATCCTCAACACTCTCGCGCCCGCGAGGAGAAAATGATCCCTACAAAGTCCAGGCATTACATAGAAGAAGAGTAACACTTGGGAATTAAAATGAACGGTCAAACTTGCATGCCAATAAGCTGAACTAAATAAGACTCGCAGACAATTTCATATAGATCCTGGGACGACTTAATGAACTTGATAATTGTAAATGCACATCATCGAGACTAGTATTTGAGGTAACTTCAGACGCACATTATTTTGACGACTTTTGGTTTTATATTCCCGTGCATGTTGCGTAAACCGCATAAATCATTTTGTTAAAGTATCGAGAAAAACAGAGCTAAAATAAAAAATGTGGTCCAAAAAAACCGCGAAACGGTATGTTATTTAAAGTCAACAAACTGTCGCCGTCGCCTGCATCTCAATAGATAAGATTTTTAAAAGTTCATACCCGTTTAAAAACGCTCAAAGGAACGCTCAATATGTAAACGTGCTTTGACCGTACGCGAGTTGAAGAAAAACATACGTCTTTTCCATTGCTTGTAATGCGTTTTTGATGACCCTTGGAACGCGTTTTTTAATATTTTTTTCAGCCGCACTTTACCAAAGCTCCAGTGCCCCCAAAAACCTGCATATCTTGTGTCGGGAAATTAAGGGGGCACTTCTTCACAAACTGATCTACAGGCGAAACTAGAGTCGCGGCTTCTAGCAGGACGCAAGATTCACAGCCTGGGGCCATACTTTCAAAACTCGCTAAGTGAACGTAAGTACTTACGCTCTATTTTATTGTCTATGATTGGTGGATTTTGCTTGAACGGCCGTCAATGATTGGCTGATGAACTTACGATCTCTTAACTTTTTTTGTGTGCGGCATTTTCCCCAGTAAAGTTTTAAGACAATCCAACTTGTACGATTACTGCAATGCAAACTATATCAGAGTTGATGCATATTCATTTTAAAAAATAATGGGGAGCGGTATTTATATTCCGATTCCATGTCCGAAATTGTTATAAATGTTTACCGTCGATCATCAATTCAATCTAGTATTCATATAGCAGACTTGAGGAGACAGGAGTATCAATGAATTGTTCGGAATATTATTTATTTGAGGAATAGAATATGGATTAATTTATTTTTCTTAGAGTTCATGAGCTAATTAATTAATTGAAAAGACCCAATGATCAAGTATAGTTTACTGGCTGTCCCGAGACAGAGAAACTGCATGCCAACTTGCAGGCCGAAGTTTGCCAAAAAATGAGAAAACGTACATGTAAGAATTCATATTGAGCTATAAGCGCATAATAAATGCAATAAATTAAAGGAAATTGAAAAAATGTAATTCGTATCAACAATATACTTGTGTAAAATTAACAACTCAGTCCTGCCTTCTACTAGCGTAGCTCCGCGACTATGACCTTGCACCGAAAGTGAACGAAAATTTGTGATAAAATGTAGGCACACTCAATGAAAGAGAGAAATTCATTTTTGATCCATCGCATAACGCAGCAAACTTGTAAAAATATTTTTAAATTTTCGAAGTAAAGACTGAAAATTTACAAGAAATTTCGATCCTAAAATTTTAATATCATGGAGTATTTTCCAGATTAATACATGTGAGGTCATCGAGACGTTACTCCCTAAAATAAATTTACATTACCACTTTATTAAAAATTTTAAATGCACTCCGCAAGTTTGTCAGTAATTACTTGGACAGCTCAAATGAAACAGCGCCAGCGAGTCATGCAATTATTCAACAAAAAAACCATCACCACCACTACCACTCGCGCTGTCACTACTCCGTCCCCTCAATCTCGCAGCTGCTGCCGCAACTACGGTGGCGAAAAATTGATCGTAAAACGCTTTGCAGGCGAGAAACTGATCGCGACTGAAGACGAGACGGCCGCTCGCGCGGCAGAGTGGACAGCATTCACTGTGGTGAAAAGTTGACATAAATATCGGTTTATAACATAACTTGTAAATAAAATGTTATAATTTTGGCTTAGGTGAGATATAGTACGAGAATATGTTAATATAATACCATTGGAAAACGATAAATAACATTAACCTTGCATTTATACACTTCTATTTGTTGCACAACCGTTGGTTTGCTACATTCTACCTTGAAAAGTAATCTTATGTTTTGGTGTAGCTGTAAAATAATAGTAAAACATATATGCAAAAGTTTTTTTTGCAAAGTGACTTCAATAAAATCAAAATAAAATAAAAGTACTTCAAATAATCAAATTAAATGTAAAAGTTTTATTAATTAAATTTCAACCGACACACAGGAGTGAACATCATAATAATGAAACCGCGCCATTTAAATCAATAGCTTGGCTCCTGATCATTACTGATTGTAGGACACTTCATCATTACCTGAAGCTTGTACCATCTTCGTCATTACCTGGAGGCACCATCTCCATCATTACCTGAAGGCACCATCTTCGTCATTACCTGAAGCTTGTACCATCTCCATCATTACCTGAAGGCACCATCTCCATCATTACCTGAAGGCACCATCTTCATCATTACCTGAAGGCATCATCTCCATCATTACCTGAAGCCACCATCTTCATAATTACCTGAAGCCACCATCTTCATAATTACCTGATGGCACCATCTTCATCATTACCTGATAGCACCATCTTCATCATTACCTGAAGTCACCATCTCCATCATTACCTGAAGGCACCATCTTCATCATTACCTGACAGCTCGCCACTTCATCAAGCACTGGTAGCAGAAGATGTGGATGCAGTCGCTCAGGCATCCAAAGTTCACATTCTCGTCCAATTTCACATTAATGCATATACTGCAATATTCCGGGTCACTTCTCAACAAATCTTTGACGTCATTTGCCTTCTTGAACTCGCGGATGAAGCAAAAAGGATACGTTGCTGAAGAAATACCGGCTTGGTCCATTTCAAGCATAATTTGCATCAGTAATGCCGTTGTTAACGTATGACGCAAGGTGCACCTAGTGGAGACCTGAATATTGTTCGCCGTCATTCGTTCGAATAATTTGCTCACGGAGGAGTTAAGAGAACGTAAGGCATAATCAATTGCCACGTCAAAGTAGTTGAACGATATCTTGCGTACAGCACATTCTATAGCGTAATATGTAAGAAAATGCGCGATAACAGCAACTTGAGGTGTAATCCATCTATGTAGCTTTGTTGTCCCGGCAGTGGGACGTTCTAGGTATGACAGAGTCAAAGCGAGATCGCCCAAAGTCTGTGCACTCGATATCTTCTTATGCTTGGCCCACAGCGAGACGCGGTAGACTTCATAAATAAATCGTTCGTTGAAGCACTTGTAACAAGGCATATTCAACAGGTACCGAAAATAAGCTCGGCCCCCGCGAAGCTTCATTTGCCGAAGAGAAAATTTACTGTATAATATACCAGGCGGATCATTGATCATGGTTTCACCATCAGGCAGGAGAAAATGTCGACGGAATTTGCCAAAATAAAACTGAGTCAGAAATTTCTGGTCAGTGCGTTCGTAATCTGATAAGTCAATCATTTGAGTAAAACCGCATAGGTCTTCGTGTACAGGACAGTATAAATTCTTCGCGTGGGATAAATATCGGACGAGTTTAGCTTTGTATGCAACAGGAACCTTAACGTCAGGGAAGTTAAAATAAATTGGAGAGACCTCGATGGCATAAATAGGACGAGTCGATGCTAATGTTGAAGTTGAGCTGGTTGGCTGAAAAGCATTTGTATTTAAAGAAGCTTGAGCAAATGTTGAAGCTGTTGAGACTGAAGAAATGGTTGAGATAATTGTAGTGACTGGAGACGAATTAATAGAATTATTAAATGGATATGTAGAGGAAAGATTCATATGAAAAGTAATCTTATGTTTTGGTGTAGCTGTAAAATAATAGTAAAACATATATACAAAAGTTTTTTTTTTTTTGCAAAGTGACAGATAAACAAATCTATTTCAAGAATTATGTAAGGGAACATAGCAAGAGATTTAAAGTTTTCATGCCTATTATTTGAAGTATTGACCGATAAGGATTTAAATTTATGTTGTATTGGGAAATGCAACTGATTGACGAAAAGAAAAAGGAAAATTTTTCAAACTTGGATGCCTCTTCACAAAATCTGAGAGCTGTTTAGTATAATTTATCATAAATAAAATAAAAGTCACTTCAAATAATCAAATTAAATGTAAAAGTTTTATTAATTAAATTTCAACCGACACACAGGAGTGATACGCTCTATTTTCTTGTCCATGATTGGTGGATTTTGCTTGAAAGGCTGTCAATGATTGGCTGATGAACTTACGATCTCTTAACTTTTTTTTTTAAAGTATAGGCCCTGTGGTTCATTTATTTTACAGGCAATGTTCCATGAACTCAATGACTTAGAACGCGCAACGAGGCACTGGTCCCACGTTGGTGTTTGAACGACAAGAACATTAAGCCGTGATGCTTTCCCTACGCGAGTCTCATTAAACGAGAGCATTGTCTTGCTCGTAATGAGTAGGCCTTGTGCTCTAATGAGTCTAATGAGACGAGACTCCGAGTGGTAAATTAATAAATATCGGTATAATATCACTTCCATGCAATAGAGATTTCCGTAAATGTCATTAATTCCGTTGGTCGGAATGGGATTTTAATGAGTTGAGAAATTGACGTCAATAGTCTGCGTACTGAACAATTTAAGTGGCTACTGAATCAAATCCCTCAATTTTTGGATTGGGTTAAACACAAATTTTTATCCGATTCTGCTAAGGTTTATATTTATAAGAGATGAAAAATCTCTCGCATATCATCCTCGAAAATGTTAACTCGAATTTTAAAACAGCAATAATTCATAATTCGAATTCCCATTGCAGGGCAGCACAACCTGCCAAATACAGACTTATGTTCAATATATTTTAACGGTAACTTATTCATGGATTTGCTATAAGTATTTTGTTTAGAATCTTGCCTGTGGCTGCTGATACCAGTCCCTCATTATGCAGTGCAAGACTCGTAGCCTAGCAAATTGCGGGAAAACTTTGGTCTAACAATGCCGTCTGTGGAACTAAATTCCTTCCAGGCACAGAACTGTATGAAACTTTTCAGAATTCCCGTCAAAATTATGATATGGGGACATGAAATTCAAAAAATTTTTAGATATTAAAAGTAAATGACAACGATTTTATCAAATAGATTGTGCAATATCTTGCTCACAATCTCAAATAATAATAAATAATAATACTATGATATATAATATAATACATGAAATTCGAAAAATTTTAGATATTAAAAGTAAATGACAACGATTTTCTCAAATTGATTGTGCAGTATCTTGCTCTCAATCTCAACTACAATTTTCAATGAGCTTTACTTTATGGTTTTAAAACTACAAGTTTTAATGTAATTATATGTTATGCGATATCACAGCGAACTCGAGCATGAGTCGGATTCCGGAATTCAAAAACTTAATGAATTTTTAATCGATCTTGCAGTAATTGTAACATTTATACATAGGACATTCTTATCAACCGATCGCAAGAATTTTTAATAACCAGTGGCATAAAGATTTATATTTTTCTTACATTCTTCCCAGAAAAGTAGAATTAATTTTTAAACGCAATAATGCTTTACGATGATGTACCGCATTTAGGGAGCTTGAATCACTTTGTAACAGATCTGCCCTGTACGGAGTTGTTTATAAGGCCTTATTATTCTGACCAGCTGATGATCTTTTGTTGACATTTAATTCATGATCGAGTTAGTGCTTAAGCTCCTACAATAGAGCGTGAATCATCTTCTAAAAAATCTATCAATTGAAAGCAAGTACATATATGAAGTCAAATCTATCAATTGAAAGTAACACATTTAAGTCTTTCCTTTAGGTCTTTCCTCATTATTAACTATCTAAAGGCAGTAAATATCGACTTATGGGCGTTTTTAGGCAAAACAATCACATTCAACGAGACTGCAAAACTTAAGTTACTATTCGCAAATATCGACTTATGGCGTTTTTAAGCTCCGGCAAAACAATCACATTCAACGAGACTGCAAAGTTACTATTCGCACACTCATAACGACGATGCTGAATCTCCCCCGAGTTCACTGAATGTTCCAGGGTAGCTTTCATTTTAACTTGCGCGCGTCGCAAATCGTACAAATGAGCAAAGTTACGCGAGCTTCACTCAAATTTTGACCATTTAATGCGGCCGCCACTATTTTCTGACTCAAAAGTTTGCAATTTGCAAATTAATAATTTCCAAATTTGTTGATTGACTGTTATTCTGCAAATAAATTAAGCAGCGCGGAACTTCGTTAGTTGCAAAAATGCAATTAGATAAACCCAACTTGATTAATATAGCAATAATTATCGATAAACTTCTCACAAAGAGTTTAAACTTGAGTTTTTAAATTATATGATTGAAAATCGTTTGTAGAAGTACACTAAAAAATTGAATCTACATGAAAGTTTCATTTCAATACAAGGAAACATTTAATAACCACAAAACCTAAAGTTTATTCTTGTGTGAAGATATTTGCGAAAAGAAACCGCATCATATAATTCGTAACATTGCAAAAAAATAATATTTAATTCTGTATTTAAAATATACATTTCCTCAAACGTGAACAGCTTGAGAAAATGCAATTGCCGAAGTGACATAAAATAAAACAAATTTTTACTTGGCATAACAGCTAAATACTTCATGAATGAATAAATACTTCACAACAGCTAAATATTTCACGCTTCATTCAACCAACATGTATACGCTTCATTCAACCAACATGTATACGCTTCATTCAACCAACATGTATACGCTTCATTCAACCAAGCCCTCGCCATTTCCGATGACCTTCAAAAAGCCAAGGAAAACACGTTAAAAAGCCCGTTATTTATGACGGTTAACCAAGTGCAACCGTAATAAAGAATACTAGGAATGTTTGCTTATATTTTATGTATATTGCGACCACCGCTTGTGCGCGCCCTCCAAATGCTGCGCTATGGATGCTAATTTTGCATGGTTAATCTGGAGTTTATATTACCATATTTATCGTATATATTCTATATCATCACTTATTATTATTATTATATAATGCAAACTAAACTAAATCATTGCGAATGTGGCGCTCGATGGGGCTTTGCAGTATTCAGTTTTATTCGATATTTTGCTACCTAAAACACAACGGACGCCAAATTGATATTCTGACAAAGCATTGTTGACCAGAGTTCTGCCGGGGAGCTTCAGTAAATATGAAAGCAAATAAAACCAAAGAGAGTCATGCCTTTGAAAAACTAGGCTTAATATTGCCAAATCCAGCGTGCACAAATATCATGTAATTGAGATATGCTCAGAAGTGGCTTCGCTTGGAAAAAGAGTTAATGGAAAAACTCCATTACATGCGAGAATAATTAAACCTATGAATTGTACTGAATAAAATAAATAGATATTGAGTTTCAAAAAAAAAATAATCTAGATTTATATGAAGAACTTTTGCAAAAATGTTGTTTAGACGATGTTCTTAAAAATGTATCAAAAATAGTTTTTTGAATAAAAATTATTCATATCAGATTCCTGTCTGCTGGTTAGTAGATATACCTTTCTTAAAACATTTACAATACTCACAAGGTAAAAAAAAGCATTTACCTCTCCAGTTTTTAGAACAATATATTTAAACTTCTTGACTGAATTTTTTGAATCAACATCACATCTTAAGGAAAGTTCAATAAGTAGTCCATTAGTAATTCAGTTCCATACGGGACTGAAGGTTATTTCAGAGTAAAACGCTTACATTTCAGACATACATATATACCGTGCAATTTTCATGTTTACCTGAAGAGTATGTACTTATATATAAGGGTATGATACGCATAGGTGAAGCAATGGTCTTTCAGAAGCATATATAATACAGTTTCCCTATCGGCTCATAAGTTATTTCATTTTATGGTAAGATAAAGTACCAATCTTCACTCGGGGTAATAGAATGATAGTTCAAAGCGTGCTATAGAGGAACCACCACCTCTTGGTTCATGAGGGACATAAAACGCATTGTTCACATAGCAGTGAATTGAATCAGAATGAATGACTTACGAACATACGTTACCTCGTAGAAGAAGAATGTCGACTTTAAGAAGACCGAATTATGGGATATTTTATTTAATTACAAACGATCTGTTTATTTCCACTAGGCCACCATCTGTATGCTAGCTAGTTCACCATCAGACGCACGAATTTGATGATGACTTACAAAGTTATAAATCTTACTAATCACGCGCTAGAGCCACAAATATGGCAGCTAAGCGGATACTTATCGCAAACTACAAAAAAAAAGACATTTTATTTTGCCGTAAACGTGGATAAATAATTTTTCCCAAGCTCGGTCTCTCACAAAGCCTTCGATGCAAGTTCATCCAACAAAGTCATGATACTCTCAAAGCTCGGCTTTGTCCACTATTTTAATTTGATCATTCAACGGGCTGTAAAAAATACACTCTTTATTCTACTTGATCTTTCCGCTATCGGTCAAAAAGAAATGCGAACCAAAGCAGCTTCAAATTAAAACTAAATTGTCATTCGAATGACTCTGAGGATGGAAAAAGTTGATTTTTTCACAACTCGCAAAATGGAACGTGGAAAATCGTGTTAAAAAAAGGACTTTCAACGTATTATTATTCGCTCTTTATTATTCGCTCTCTTTATTATTCGCTCTTCGGACTACTTACTAGTCTGAATTAACAATACGAGAAACTAATACTAAATACTCAGGGCTAAGCTTTAACGGACTTGAAGCTGCCATCGGAAATTGGAAGCTCTTCGTCTCACGCTTCATGGGGCTCGTCTGGCTTCTGAATCAATGCAGTTATTCCAGTAGGC